TAGGCTTGAGCCTGAGACTCTCATGCCACAGCCTACCAGAGTGCTGGGGAGGTAAGATCCACCAGTCCTGGCTTGAATTTTTTTCTCTATTGAAATAAAAATTAACCATCAAAGTGTACATTTCTTGTTGGCACATTTGTTTTGTGGTACTGGGGGGTTGAACCTAGGGGTGCTCTACCACTAAGCTACATTCCCAGCCTTTTATTTTTTATTTTACTTTCTAAATTTCTGAAACAGGGTTTTGCTAAGTTTCCCAGGCTAGTCTTATATTTGTGATCCTTCCGGGGCATCCTCTCCTGTAGCTGGGCTTATAGGCATGTGCCACCACTCCAGTAATTAAATGGCTTTTACTACATCCACAATGTTGTACAACCATTAGCACTATCTAATTCAAGAACATTTCCATGACCAAGAAAAGAAACTCCATTCTCATGAAGGAGGTACTCTTCATTTCTTCCTGCCTCTGTCCCTGGCTACTCCATTAATTACTCTCTGTCTCTATGGATTTGCTCACTTTGGATATTTCCTATAAATGGATTCATGTAATATATGATCTTTTATATAAAACTTCTTTCAGTTGATATAATGTTTTTAAAGTTCAATGACATTATAGGCATCAGTACCTCATTTTTTTAGTGGTGGAATAATATTTTCTTATAGGGTAGATGTGGCGAACCTATGGCACATGTGCCGCAGCAGGCTGTTTGTGTCATTGAAAGCTCTAAAAGTTTTTCCAGCACTGCTGTAGGGTATACCACATGTATTTACTTTCTTTCTTGTTTTATGTAGCTTTTTGATGAAGTTTAATTAATATAAAGAAAGGTGAACACATCTTAGTATTGCAATTTGATGAATTTTAACCTGTCACCAGTAGTAAAATAAGTACCCAGACCAAAAAACAAAACTCTCCACATTAGTAACATTTGTTTAAATAGCTATTTTTTTCTCATTGAGTGATATTCACATCCCTGTGAAGAATCAGTACACTGGTGAGGGTTCTCCAGAGGAACAGAACCAACTGAATATACCAAATGATAAGAGGAAGCTGAATAGTCCTACAGTGGCTGACTACAGTCTGGGGAAACCAGCAACAGCTCAGTTTAAGCAGCTGGAATCCTCAGAACAAGAGGGATCCAGATTGCAGCCTGGCCTGGGGCTGAAGGCCTAGGAGATCCGTGATGTCAGTCTCCATTCAAAGGCTGAAGAATCTGGAGTCTGATGTCCATGGACAACAGCATCAGCAAAAAAGGCTCAGGAAAGGTTGAGTAGCCACATGTGAGCCTCCTTCTTCCTCTTTTTGTTTCTTCTAGGCCCCTGCCATCTTGGATGGTGCTCCCACATGCAGTGTGGGTCCTCTCCCTCAGCACACTTCACCTACATACACACCAGTAGTCTCAGAAAAACCCTCACAGACTCACTCAGAACTGTTTATCAATTTTCTATGAGTCTCTCAACCCAGTCAAGTTGACAACTAAGAATAACCATCACAATATTTATGTCGTATATCTGGGGGCTCTTTTTTTAGGTTCATGACCTGAATTTCTCATATTTGAAAGCAGCAAAACCAGGAATTAACAAAAGGCAGCCTTTGATGTAGTTTCTGTATTTACACAGTAATTTTGGTAAACAAACCGAAAATCAGGGGAGACATGAATCTTCACAGGAGAAAGTTTTACAGTATATGATTGCTCCCAGCCATCATATGCCCAGGAATAGTTTAAACAAGGAGAAAGATGTTTCTTAGAACCGTTCTTCAATGAAAGAGAAAATTCTTTCCTTGCCTATGATAACGAAAGAATGTGAAGTTTAAGAATAAAAAGATTAGATAACTTTTATTAAGGGCTTGCTGTGCTCCAGGCACTATACCAGGTCCTTCCTTATATTTCATTTAATCCATGGATCAACCCACTGCTGTGGTATTCTATACCAGTGATATCTGAGTCAAATATTCATCTACAAAAGTGATCTTAAGGAAGTGTTTCCAGGAGGAAAGGGTAAGGGAGCAAGGGTAGAGGAGAGGAGAGGAGGAAACCAAACAGTAGTAGGATTTAGGGCAGTACAGATAGCGTCAGCCTGACCCACTGACAAGCTGTGGGCTGTAAATTACACACCGGAAGTGCCAACAGGGAGTCAAAGAGTCGGGCTTATAGTTACTATTCATCAGTGGCTGGTCGAGGGTCACCCTGGAGTAAACCATACCCAGGTGCTCTCTGTCCATGGTCAGTGGTGGTCTGGCAGCCAAGGGCAGTTCCTCCACAGCAGTCTCAGGGACTTGTGGTGGATGTCATGGTGAGAATGAATGCCAGTGTGTCTGATGCCAAAGGGCCCTTCCTTTCCTCTTTAATGGGACATCTCCACGTCATGATGCCTTCACCTGGGAGCTTTTCAGAATGCCCCATTAGATATCACGTGTCTTTCTTAAATCAGGATCAATTTTTTCAGAGTTTCTTTACTTGGTATCTACCAAACTATATGCAGAATTTTATTTGTCGGTAGATGACTACATTCAGGGGCACCCCTGCCAGCAGGGAGGGAGTTTATGGCTGAAATGAATGTTTTAAAGACAAATCAAAATCTTAAGAATTATGATTTAAAAAGATGATTCATAGTTACTTATTTTCCTGTGTAGGACCTTATGACTTGCTTATCACTATTACTTCTTTAAAATTTGGTCTTATGTGCTCAAATTAATTATAATACAGTAGTCTGCTTATCCAAGCTTTCACTTTCTAGCAGGTTCAAATACCCAAGGCAAATCATAGTCCAAAAAATATTAAATAGAAAATTTTAGAAATACATTATTCACAAGTTTTAACTCGCACACTGTTGGGAGAACTGTAATGAAGTCTCAAACATCCTGTCTGGGATTTATTGATGTCGTATGTGCTACCAGCCCAGTTGTCACTGAGTAGCTGTCTGGGTTGTCAGATCAACCATTATAGTGTTGTAGTGCTTGCGTCCAAGTAACCCTACTACTTAATAATGGGTCCAAAGTGCAAGAAAAGTGATGCAAAGAAGGCACAAAACATAAAACACGGGAGGACAGATTAGCTCTGGCCCTACGAGGCAAGGCTGCAGGGCATGTGGAAGAAGATGCTGTGCGGGTTTAGTGCTCTCGCTCTCAGGCAGCCCTGTGGACATGGGGCACCGGTGGTCATAGAGGGCAGTTTAAGAGGATGACAGCTTTCTCCCCCTGCTCTGGCACTGCTTTTGCTGCCTCTGATAATCAGAAGATTGCCATTCATTCTTTAAATGGTTGGTATCATCCACTATCACAACCGTCTTGCTCCGGGGTTGGGGTTTTTCATGTTGGAAGTTCATTGACTGCTGATTCAATCTCTCTACTTGTTACATGCCTACGCAAATTTCCTTTTTCTGAAGAGAAGCACAAAGAACTTTCACGCTATTTGATAGGCAGACACTTTACTAGGCCAAAAAGTTCATTTAGGGCCTCCAGTGATCTTGGGGTGTTTCCACTGATTAATTTAGTTGGATCATTGGTGAGTATTTACGAGGTATCTGCATGGCTTTCACAAGCACACACCCCAGGATATCATGCGGTTAGCATTTTTAAAATTTGAAAAAGGGATCCAGTGGCATGCCTGAACTCTCTGTTGGTTATGTGATGTAGGTGTGCAGGGTCTTTTTGTGCGCACAGGGTTGATTGCTAGGGCTCGCCGTGCAGAATGGGTCTTCGTATCTCCCTGTGGGGACCACTTCTCACTTCAGAGCTGAGCACTCGGACGACCCAGCTCTGAAGCCCTGGGGAGCCTTGGCAGAGGGGACTGGTGTGGAGAGTTGTCCCAGGGAGGGCATGGCCTCACAGCTTGGACAGTGCAGGTGAGAGGGTGGCCCCACCCCAGCCCATTGCAAGGTGCCAGGTACGGAAGAACCCTTTGACAGAGGTAATCTTTGGCGGGGAGGGCATGCCAAGAAGTGGTGCTAAAACTGGGAGTTCAAGGACAGCTGTGACTGTAGCAGGGCCGACTTTGTCTTCTGGAGGTGACCTGCTCGCTCCCTGACTCCCTTTGGTCTCGCACCAGCTGAGGCCTCCTCTTGTTTTTTCTGAGTTAAATCTCCACGTGACGCTGTTTCATACTGAGTGCTCTGTCCCTTGCACCGAGAGTGACCGACAGGACCGCAGGAGGACCCTTGCCTTTTCTGGGGAGCACAGCACAGAAGAGAGGGCGCGTTTGTCGGAGGAGGAGGATGCCAGGAAGGAGTGGCCGCAGCCGCCGGGCAGCAGGAAGTCTGGCCAAGCTCTGGGCTTGGAGAGCAGAACGAGGGACTCTCACCATTTGAGGCTGGAAAATCATTGTGATTTCATTTTCATTTAAACAAGTGTTCATTGCCGGTGTGGACGAGAAATCGTGAGGGGCGGGGTTAAGTTACGAAATATGTAAGTGGAAGGAAGGCATCTTTCCCTCGAAGCCCAGGGCCAGGTCCTGGAGGACTGCAAGGCCCGGAGTCAGAGCCCGAGCAACGTCTCCAGGCCGCCGCACGGAGCGCCCATTGCAGGGCGCAGTCAACCCGACCGAGCAGCGCAGGCCCGAGGAGATCTGGGTGCCTTTCCCCGACCCGAGCTTGCGGAGTCCGGGCGCGGGCAGGGGCCTCAGGTGGTGCTCTAGAGGAGGGAGCGGACGGAAGAAGCCCCCTTCCCGGAGAGGGGAGAGGCGGCTGGGGAGGAGGGCGGGAGGGCGGAACTTTCTGGGATCTCTCTGGAAGTTTCAGGCGTGGACGCATCGCCAGGCGAGAGAAAGGAAGTGCGGGGTGTCGGGAGCGGAGCCCCGGCCCGGGCGGACTCGCGAGGGGGTGGAAGTGGCGGAGTCCGCCGGGAGGGCGGGCGGTGGGAGGGGCGGTCCTGCCTCGGCCTCCCTCGCCCGGTCCGCCGAGCCGCACTCCCTTGAGCGCGGTCCCTGCGCCCCGCCCCGCCCCGCCCCGCCCCGCCGGGTTCCCGCCGGCCCGAGCAGCCGGCCCAGCCGGTCGGGGTCTGGCCGGAGATGGCCCGGGTCCCCGAGCCGGAGGGCGCCGCCCCGCGCACGCAGCCTGCGCCCCAGCCGACCCCCGACGCCCGCGGGGTGAAGGCAGGTGAGCGCCCGGAGGAAAGCGCCGCGGACCGGGGGCGCCGGCCGGCGGGGTCCCCTCCGCGCGACTCGAGTGACCGCGGCTTTTCTTTATCTTCCCTGAACCTCAACAGAAATGCATTTCAGCAACGGCGGCGGCTTCTCCTCCGAGGAAGAGGACGCAGGCAGCCAGGGCAGCAAAGTCGAGGCCGCGGAGCAGCGCCTGTCCCCGCGCAGGACGGCGGCGCAGCTGATGCGGGACAAGAAGCGGCAGGCGCAGCGCACGCTGCAGTGGTGAGGCCGGGCCGGGCCGGGCCGGGCCGGGCCGGGCGCGGGCCGCGGGCTCCGAATCTCCCGCGCACGTTTGAGAGAGCGTCAGACGGCTGGCGCCCGCCTTACTGCCCTTTAGTGCGGAGCCGCCTGCTGGTCTCGCTGTGGTGAAAACCCACCTGTAAGGCGCTGCACTTCCACACTTCCGTGCTTAACATCCCAGTCCCCGTCTGTTATCTGGCAGTTTTTGTGTTTATAAAATATGATCCTTAAAAAGCAGCTTAGCGGTGCAAAGATCTTGACACTCTTGATCCACAGGAGGGCAAATTAGATATAATGGGTTGGTTACAAGATAGATGAATCTTTATTTGAATAGCAGACTTTTAACAGTTAAGATATCACTTAAATAAATGTTCACTGTTTTTATAGCACTTGTCATATATGATTGATTAGAGTGAAATATCACGAGTTGGATTTTGTGGAAAATCTTTTAAAACCAAGAATAAACCTTTTACATATAAAGAACATTTTGTAATACTTATCTAAAAGGAAAAGAGATCTAAGGTAAAAATATAGTGTAAAGCTCCTCTGCATAGTGTAAAGAGTAGGAGTATAAATTTCCTCCCAAATTCCAAATAGTAAAAAATAAAAAAGGCCACATAATTACTAGTTCATGATATTGCTTACTTAGATATAAAGTATAATCTAAACCTTGGAAAAATAAAAATAGATTAAATACTAATACATATATTTTTATTTATTTAAACATTAAATTATAATTTGTATATACCAGATTTTTGTAATTGTATGCATTAATACTTTACAGTATTTCAAATATAAACCAATATTCCTTTAAAGTTATACTTTAACTATTAAATTTTATGTCACCATTACTAATTAAGAATACACGAGATCTGAAATACAAAATATTGTAATTTTTGTTTGAATTCTCTACTCTCCTAAACAATAAGGATTATAAATTTTTAAAGACCTGAATTATTTTTATTTTGTGAAATTTTCTTTAAGGTTATAGATTAGATAAGGAGTGTTAAAAATTAGAACTGAAAATCAAAATGAAGCAGTTGTCTCATTAGCTCCAGTTTTCACTACAACTGGGTATTTAACTGTATGTATGCAAATTCATTTGTTTTGAAACCACAGGTCTTGGGAATTTTAGTCTTTTTTTCTTCTTCTTCACAGAAAAATAGGTGTCTGATATGTTACCTTCTCAGGAAACACACCCGTAACTGTTACCTTACATGTATTGGGAATATGTTACATCTTGAAGGATTTCACCTCTAATTTTAATTTGAATGCATACTTTTTATTGCATTGTTCTTGTATTATAAATAATGATGATTTTACTGTACATAAAATTGGTATAAGTAACTTTTTAACCTAAATAGCCTACTACACTGTTAGGAAAAACTAGGAATAGAATCCTGAAGTTTTTATTTCTAGATTGCTATCTAGGTACTTATAGCACAAATATTTATTGCATTTATATAAGTTTATCTTAATTGCAAATTAAATGTAATCATCCAAAATTTCAAAGCATATAGAATTTATTTATAATATGGAGTTGAAATGACATATATTATGTTTGGAGACATCTGCAGAGAAACTGGGTGTATACTGGATGTTTTAGATCATTATGGTACTAATCACAGTGAAATGATGTAAAAATAGAAAAGGTCAGTATCATCTCCAGACTTAAGTGAAATGGTTTTCCCCTATGTATTTTGTGAACAAATGCATCTTTTCCTAACTCTTCAGGATTCAGGAGTAACGTGAATGTGAATGAAAGTAACAGTGTGTAAGCATTTGCCAACCTGAAGGCTGGCAGCTCTTTGATGGTGAGGATGTTCCTTTAGAAACCTGTTATTTTCAGTTTCATCATTGATATTTACATATCAAGGTGTAAACCATGGTGAGCAGGAAGATCCAGAGTTTCACTGTGGGACATGAGGAGTGATTTTCACATTAGCCATGGGTATTTTAATTGCAATAACAGACGTTTGCTGGGCTTCTTGCTCTTCTAATCCCCGTGACTTGATTTGTTTTGCCTCAGAATGCAAACTTATTATCTCACAGTTTCTGTGAGATGGGTCAGGAGTGGGATGGGATCCTCGGCACCAAGTGCGTGATCTCATCAGGCTGAAATCAAGGTCTGTTGATGCTGCAATCTCAACCAAGACTCTGAGTTTTCTTCTAATCTCACTGGGTTGTTAAGAGACTTTTTCTCCGCAGCTGTGGAACTGAGGCTCTCTGTTCTGAGAGGCCACCTGTCATCCCTGAGAGGTGGACCTCTTCAAAGTGCAGCAGCATGCTTCTTCAAGATCTTCCACTCGAGTGTGTCTGCCACTGCTTAGATCTTTTGATTCTCTGTCTTTAGACCTTCTTTCCAGGGCTCACCAACGTAGATCAGGCCTATCCAGGGTAACACCTTCTTTACTGCCTAAAAAAGGTTTCAAACATTTTTTGGTTCACACATAGTATTTGTACACATTTATGAAGCACAATGTGATATTTTGATTCTTACATACATTGAGTAATATAAACTCAAGGTAATTCACGTATCTATCTCCTTAAATTCTTATTTCTTTATGAATTAAAATTCTTCTCTTCTATTTTGAGGTATATGACTCATTATTTTTGTTAATTGTATTCACTCTGGTTTTATTTTAATAATATCCAGAATAAAGGAAGTCTATTCATTAACTCATTTTTATAGAGTCTGCTTTCAGAACAACCATTAATTCATTGAGAAAGGGAAAAGAAAAGAGTAATAAGGAAAATGTTTTACCTACTTTTTTGCCTTTTTTCTTAGGCTTGAAGAGAATTACATCGTGTGTGAAGGCGTCTGCTTACCACGGTGCATCCTTTATGCGCACTACCTGGATTTCTGCAGGAAAGAGAAACTGGAGCCAGCCTGCGCAGCCACCTTTGGGAAGGTGAGCAGCAGGTGTGGGCCACCCCCTTGCGGGTAGAGCAGGTGAAGCAGATGCTCCATATTCCTCTGAGCAAGTTCTCTGAAGAGAAGGCTGAAGCGTTTGCTCTGAGGGCACAGATGAAATCTCTGAATGCTGTGTTTGGAGCTGCTGCACAGTTGCATCTTGATTTTGAGCAGTAGAACCCTGACCACAGGGAGCTCTAATGTGAACTTAAAGCAGGCTCGTGTCCCTCGAGGTGTGATACATTGAGAGGATGGTGTAGGTGTGTGGAAAAGCAAAAAATGGAGGTGACTGATTGCTTGTTAATGCAGTTAGGGGTTAACCATATATATTTTGATTGTCTGAGCCAAAAAGTTTGCTGTGAAACCCTCTAAAGTTTGTGTGTGGATCTCTTAAGATCTAAGTGTCCTTTCAGGTTTGGGGATGGGTTGAGGAAAACTTTGGATGGATAGGATCATGCAAACCCAAATCTTCCTCCACACATTGTTTTAGCAGTAGCATCAAATAAAAGCAATATGGAAAGCATCTGCCTTGGTTGACACAGGGCAGTACAATGCTCCAGTCAAAATACCTCCCTGCCTCTGCTGATACGTTTCCGACCAGTATTTATAAGATTCTACTTAGCAGTTCCTTGGAGTTAAACATTTTCTTTCTCAGATTAATTGGTTATGAGTGGCTTGCATTAGAACCACAGACTTTCTAAAAGCTAAAGTAATTGTCTTTTTTTTTTTTTTAGACAATTCGGCAGAAATTTCCCCTCTTAACAACACGACGGCTTGGAACAAGAGGCCATTCAAAGTAAGATATGTGGGTAAACAGTAGATTCCTCCTTTGTGCCTGAGGATATAAAATAAATAATGTACTGATCAGTGAACAGAACTGGGTATTTTCTTCTTTATGAAGCGAACTTTTACTAACTGAAGGAATTTTTAAAAAAGGAGATTTCAGAATAACATTTGGAAAGAAAAATTTACAAAGAAATGTTATATTATTCTACCTACTAACATAATAAGTGAATCATTTTCATAATCTTGAAGCTGTTAACAAAGGCGCGAGTGTCATGAAAGAGGGTCTATAAGAAGGCATTCAGTCACTAGGCCGAGTCCACAACATTGGAAAGAGCAGGGCAGACGGTGTGAGTCAGACAGAGAGGACTCAGCGCACTTCAGCCCCTTCCTGTAGCTTTCCTTCCTGGGTGATAATGTCTTAATATCCCCTTGCTTTCCCTTCAAGACAAATGATCTGCATAAATGATATCTTTGCTCATCTCTTAACATGAACATAAAATAAGTTGACATATGTTCCTCTTTGGTAACTTCCACATTTCTTCTCATTGCTACTCCTCTCTTTGCTATTTCTTGAAAGGGCAGCTACCAGCTTACTCCTCTGCCATTTATCACATCCTTCTGTCCTACTCTGCTCCTTTACTGCATAAAAACAGTGACGCATTTCCACGGTACATTTGCTGCTGCTGCTGCTGCTAGTACGCTCTTCAAATGAGGAACACAGAAACTTTGGTTTCTGCTGGCAGCCACCCTCACCGCCCAGCTGTCCTTCTCCTGTGGCTTTTCTAGCTGTTCCACTGTCTCATGCTCTGAGGCTCAGGCAAACCTGGCCAGCAGAAGCACAATGCAGCCTCATACCGAGTTCAAAATATCTGCTAGTCACAAATTTTAAAAGTAAAAAGGAATAGGTGAAGTTGATTTAATAAAGCTTTATGTAACCCAACACATCTAAAACGTTATCATTTCACTATGCAATCAGTGTACAATTATGAAGGAGATATTTGACATTTTTTCTTTCATGCTGTTTCAGAAGCCCTGTTATATTTTACAGTTAAGCACATGTCAGGTCAGAGCCAAGTTCTGCATGCTCAGTGTCGCTGGCTCCCTTTAGTCCTTGCTAACACATTGGTCCTATGCTGGGCTTCTCTTGAATTTGTCTCTCTCATTTCCATTTCCACAGACAGATCCTGACTCTGTCTTCTGGCCCATTCAGGACAATTTTTCCAAACCAACTTTCTAATTTTCAGGTTTAATAATATTTCTCCCATGTTCAGAAACTCACTGGCCTGTAATTTCTACTATGGAAGGTGAATTTTTCTACCTTGTCAGCTCCACTATGATCCGATCCAATCCATTTTCCTGTCTCATCATTGACTTCTCACTGGTGAGCATATAGTCATATTTTCATTGCATTACCACCCCGTATCCTTTGCTTTGCCCTAGCTGTTAATTATTGTTCCGGCGCACCCCAACCTGAGTAAGCCCTTTCCCCTACATGGATGGTGAAATCTTAACGCTTAGATGAATGTCTTGGAAATGTTCTCTTGCATATTTTCTTGGCCTGTTGGCTTACTGTTGTCTCCTCACGCCCTTAGAGCTGTCTCTTGGTATACATCTCAATGTGGCATTAACTTACCTCCTCTTCAAGCAGATAGTAAGCATTTTGAGGATGGAGATTTTTGTTTCATTCACTTTTATGTCATTTCTGCTGCCTGTACATAATAGACTATCAATTAATATTTATTTAACTGATTTCAACCAATGTTAACAGTATTGTGGCCTGGGAAAGAGATATAAAGTAGATCGAAACAGATAAAATTGATTGTTCTCTTTTAACCAAGTCAGCTTTATTTCCAAATTGACTCAGGTTAGCTTTATGATTTCTGCTAAATTTGATTCCTTTTGAATTGTGTAACTAGAGAGAGATCAGATAGTGTTTGAAGTAGAAAGATGGGGGAAAGAAGCAAAGCAATGCAGAGAAATCCTCTTGACAAGACCCTAAGGGAGCCTGCAGGCTGCAGAGAAAGTCAATTAATCTTTGTAGGAGCCCTGAGGATTAGGGATGAATCATTAACCCTGTCCATTGTGACACGGGTCAGGTGCTAGTGCTCAGGTTGATAGAGCAACATTTGGTGACTCCTGGCAATTTATTTGGATATCTGAGAGGCATAGGTGTGCCCAAGGTCAAAGCATTAACAATTGTTTCTCCTGCCTTACTGGTGGTAGGCTGTTTGCTTTTTATGACATGACGATTACATTTTTGGTGTTTTTATAAAATAAATTTCCTTATCTAAACTGTCCTTTGAAAGATAGAGCAAGATGTAGAATTTATGTGTGTTGTAAATGGTAATGTTTTGATGTGATTATTCTTAGCTGGATAATTTTCCTGACTTTATTTCCAAGAGATAGCCTTAGGGTTTATTTTGGAAGATAGTACATTAAAAGGCAACATAGTCTAGTAGTTGGAGCATAGTATATAAAATGGGCTGTATTTAACTGTGAATCTCACACTTCCATGGATGGCTGTGTGGTGCTGGATGTATTCAGCTTTTCATCAGCAAAGTGGCATATGATGCCCCGTATGATTGTTGTGAGAATTAAATGAGATAAAGTATAGGAGTGAATAAAAAAGCAAATATGTTTTTTGCTTTGCTATCCTTACTAATAGAAATTAGTTACTGAATATTGGCAGTGCTAAGTTATTATGTATTAAATACTACACAGGTACACACATGCACATTCATTGTCTCTAATCGCTCCAGTAAGGACATAAGACTGAAATTACTGAGGAAATAGAAGTGTGAAGGGTATTGACTTGCCCAAGGCCACAAAGACACTACCTAATAACAATGCTGAAATTTAAATGAAGGCTCACTGACTAAAGTTTATGCTTACTCACCTAGGAAAAGTAAGAAAGCCTACTTATCTCTGGTATCAGTCATATTAACAAAACAACTGTTGGGTGGAATTTCTGATTTTTGAAACATGGCTTTTATCAAGTTTTCTTACTGACTCAAAGTTCTTGAATTTTATTATATTAGATTATTCCTCAAAGAGTGAATGACACTTTATTAAGCCTCAATCGTTAATTTTATAGAGATATTTATGTTTATATAGAAAGACCTTGGCAGCACCAATGAAATTTTACTTTGTGCCTTTTAATTTTTATCCTAAGTATTATTTTATAATTTACAACCATCATACAATGGCTGTTTAATATATCATAAATTTATATTTTGTGAAAAATATTTTTATGTCTATAGAAATATAAACAGCTGAATGAAGCAGAAATACAGATGAATTGTGTAATAATTCATCAGGAACAATTTATCAGGAAGTAAATATATGTTGGTAAATCAGGCAATCAAAATTTCTCCCCATTTTACAAAACTTATTTTATTGTTGCAGTAACATTTAATGTAGCACACTAAGGAAACTATTACTAAATATTTTAAAATTATTTTAAAAACATAAATTTCTATTCATTTATCTGAAGTGCATTAGATGGCATATTAAAAATATTATGTAACTGTTCAGGTGATGATTAAAAATAAGTTTTCAGTTTTGCCAACGTTTTGTAGAATAGAGCATGTTCAGCGATTTCATTTGGGATTGTCAGATGGGATTTATTTTGGATTATGATTTATTGGGAGCCTCACTGTTTCTAAAACTGACCTCAGGTGTCTTTAGGCTCATGGAGTGAGGTTATTCTGCACATTTCACTGGTCCATGTATGAAATCCAAAATTTAGAAAACACTGATCTGTGTAACAGAGAGCTGGTTTGGAGTCTACAGGCTGAGTGATTTGCGTACCTCCCCAGACCCTGTCTCTCCGGGCTCTGAAATAACCGCTCACAAAGTGAGGTCTCCACCCCTCTCACCTGGCTGCAGCCACTACTTCCACCCATTAAAAGTGAAAGATAAAAAAGTTCAATTAAAGAAAACAAGTCAAAAATTTGTTCAATCAAAAGGAAGGGAGAAAATACTTCAAACAAGTAGATCCGTTAAAGATTTTTTAAAAACCCAGTGGATATAATCGTTGTGTAGGTCCACACATTATCCACTGTCAGAATGAGACACAACTAGAAAGACAATAGTTTTGTATAGGAAGCCACTGCTGCCAGAGTTTATGGGAAAAACCTCTAGAGGCTGACAAATGGGCCCGGAAGCCTCGCTCCAGAGCACTCAGTGTGCTTTTGGGACAGTGGCTCTATTACCTGTCCCTTTCTTTCTTTCTGTTTTTTTCTTTCTGTACTGGGATCGAAGTCAGGTCCTTGAGCTTGCGCAGCAGGCGGCGAAACCACTGAGCTGAATCCCCGGCCCCTACCTGTCCCTTTCTTTATCACTCTCCCTGCCAGGAAAATCAGTAGTCCCTACGGACAGGACAGAAGGACAGAGCGCGTGCCCTCCCCCCGAGAGAGAAATCTGCCTCACTTCCAGGGCTCTTACTCTTTTTTCACTTTCCAGTGTTGATTGGTGCATGTTTGCAGTGCATTATGATTACATTCTGGATGAGGAGTTGGTATGTGTACATCACACAGCTGAATTCCTTTTTTCTTCTTTTCTTCCTTTTGATTGCCATCCATGGCAAACGTGTGCACCTGGCTTTACTCTCTGTAATATCTTAAAATTTGGTTTTCAATAAAAATGAAACAAAATTTTATAGGTACAGTACAGGCACCGAGTAATTCTTGAATATTTTATGGTAATGAATATACCCTGTCAGGAATAATCAATTTGTATTTGTATTAATGTGCGAAACATGATCCTAAAAAGTTTTTGAGATCCAAAGAACTTTCAGACGGGGCACAAATGCCCTTCACTATTACTATCAGTTACTTAGTGAGACTCTCAGGAGGGCCTCAGTGGTAGCGAGGCCCAGGGAACAGAGGCCTGCAGGGAGCATGGGCTCTCCCTCGATCACACCGGCTTGGGAAAAAGTCAGAAGGAACATAGTTGAGGCCAAAATAGATTTCATGCACATAGGAAACTGTTGGATGTGGTTATATTTTA